TAACACCAACAAGGTTTAGAACCTAGTTGATGCGCCCGAAGGTATTGTACCCATCGGTTGCAAGTGGATCTTTAAGAAAAAGATTGGAGTAGATGGAAAAGTAGAGACCTACAAAGTAAGGCTAGTGGCAAAGAGGTATCGTCAAAGGCAAGGTGTTGACTATGACGAAACCTTCTCACCCGTAGCAATGCTAAAATCCATCAGAATTCTATTGGCTATTGCAGCACACTATGATTATGAGATCTAGCAGATGGATGTGAAAACAACATTCCTCAATGGGAACCTCGAGGAGGAGATGTATATGATACAACCTGAGGGATTCGTGTCTAAGAACTGCCTAGATAAGATGTGCAGTTGCTTAGATCCATTTATGGACTAAAGCAAACTTCCCGAAGTTGGAACATAAGATTTGATAAGGCAATCAGATCTTATGACTTCGTTAAGAACGAAGATGAGCCTTGTGTATACAGGAAGGTATGTGGGAGCGCTATCACCTTTTTGGTGTTATATGTGGATGACATCCTGATCATCGGGAATGACGTAGGAATGCTATCCACAGTAAAGACTTGGTTATCTAGACACTTCTCCGTGAAGGACTTAGGGGAAGCATCCTATATCATGGGGATTCAGATCTATAGAGATAGATCCAAGAGGATGCTTGGCTTGTCCCAATCTAGGTACATAGAAACCATTATCAAAAGGTTTGGCATGGAAAATTCCAAGAGAGGTCTCATACCGATGAGACATGGAAAATTCCAAGGTTTGATACAGAATCTTTTTGCTTATTATATTTTGACATATAGTACTTTATAACTATTGCATATATATATATATATATATTATGATGTCCTTGGATTTGTGCAATGGGAATCGGATCGTGTTGAGATCACGATAATGAGATTGATTCACCTTTAAACATAGATCCTTAATAATCCCGGTCATAGATTACTCGAGAGGGACATCGTGATAACTGGACAGACTGATGTGCTGTATACCCGTCCATATGATGGATGCAGCTGGTCTCATAGCTGCTCGTGTAGGGACACTAGGGATACAATACAGGTGCTCGTTGGAGAATGAGTTCACTAATTGATCCGCTTACGGAATGCTGGATGGTTGATGATGTCTTATTGTCAAATAGCGATTCCGTAGTCCTAGTGGTGTATCTGGTCCTTAGACTTGAGACACCAAGGATGTCCTATATGAGTGCTCCACTCTTTGATACTAGACTTATAGGTTTGACTGTCCCAAATCTAGTACAACTGGTCATTGGGAGTGGTAGTCGACCTTACGAGGGCTATTGAGTGTCGATAGAGGATCATCCACTCTCGGCGTCATGAGAGGAATATCCCATGTGTTCTTGCTCAAACAAATCCCTGGCCAGGGTCATTCGGGTTGAGAGAGAAAGAGTTCTGCGAGAGACTCCGATTAGAGCGAGACTCAAGTAGAAACCATATGGGTCTGATAGCACCATGCTCGATATATGGTCTCTGGGATATTAGATGAATGAGGGACTATAGGTACACGGTAACTGAGGACAGACAGGTCCAATGGATTGGATTCCCCTATATCGTTTGGGGACTACGGCATAGTAGTCTAGTACGTCCGTAGTCGATGAGTTGAGTGAATTATTACAGAGATAATAATCACTAAGTTAGAAGGAGTTCTGACATGTATGACTCACGGCCAGCTCGATATTGGGCCTAGAGGGTCATATACATATGGTAGGCATTGTGATGAGTAGAGGTTCGGATATGAGATATCCGACGGAGCCCTTGTCTTATTGGATGCAGATCCAATACCCACTAGGGGAGGATCTATTAGGGTTTGACAGGAGACCTCTATAAATAGGAGGGATTCAGAGCCTCATAGGCTAGAGCCTTTGCTTGCCTCTCCTATTCTCCTCCCCATCTCCACCTCAGAGCAGGCCTAGAGTTTTTGAGGAGCATCGTCGCAGCCCTACTATGTGGATCACCGCTAGAGAGGAGGACGCTTGACCTCCTTCACCCTCTCCTAAAGATCTGCAAGGAAACAGGGATATACGATCTCCTTAGGTAACACAATCTACTATATATGCAGTTTTAAGTTTCGCGGATTTTGCGCACCAATCTTCGCACGACGACGAACATCTCTTTGGGAATAGGGGATTTTGTTTTCTTGTTCTTCCGCTGCACATGTGATGTCGCCCCCAAGATTTCCCAATAACGTCAACCTTCCAAAAGATACTCTATAGATGAGTATGTGATGTTTACTGATACAAGTGAACCTGAGAGTTACTAGGATGTAGTTGAAAGTGAGTAGAAAAAGAAATGGTTAGTTGTTATACAGGAAGAGATGAATGCTCTGCAAAAGAACCACACATATGATTTAGTACAACTACCAAAGGGAATGAAGGTTTTGAAAAACAAGTGGGTTTTCAGGTTGAAGACTCAAGAATATTATTCTCAACCAAAGTATAAAGCTTGATTGGTTGTGAAAGGCTTTGGTCAAAGGAAAGGTATTGACTTTGAAGAGATTTTTTCTCTTGTTGTTAAAATATCTTCTATTCATGTTGCTCTTGGTATTGTTGCTAGCTTGGACTTGGAGGTTGAGCAGTTAGATGTGAAGACATCTTTCCTTCATAGTGATTTGGAGGAGGAAATTTATATGGAGCAACTAGAAGACTTTAAAGTTAAAGGTAAAGAAAATTTTTCCTGCAAGTTGAAAAAGAGCTTATATGGGCTGAAGCAAGCTCCAAGACAATGGTACAGAAAGTTTGATTAATTTATGACTGAAAATGAATACAAAAGAATGACTTCAAATCATTGTGTGTACATCAAACAGTTTGGTGAGGATTTTATTATTCTCTTACTTTACGTTGATGACATGTTTATCCTTGGGAAAGATATTTCTACAATTGACAGGTTGAAGAAGGAACTGAGTGAATCCTTTGCAATAAAGGACATGGATCTAGCAAAGCAAATACTAAGCATGTAGATTTCCCGTGATAGAAAAAACAAGAAGATTTGGTTGTTATATGAGAAATACATCGAGAATGTATTAGAAAGGTTCATTATGAGCAATGCAAAGCCAATTGGTTCTCCTCTTTCATATCACTTCAAGTTGTGCTCAGAACAAAGTTTGTCAAATGATGAGGAGAAGGAGAAAATATAAAAGGTTCCTTATGCTTCAGTAATTGAAAATTTAATGTATGCAATGGTATGTACGAGGTTGGACATTGCATATGCAGTGGGTGTAACTAACATATTTCTTGCAAGTCGAGGCAAAGAGCACTAGGCAGCAGTGAAGTGGATCTTTAGATATCTTATAGTGAAGTTCTAAAGTTTGTTTAAGTTTTGGAGGTGGACCACATATGTTGACAGGTTACACAGATGCAGATATAGCAAGAGATATAGATACAAGGAAATTCATATCGTGTTTTGTACTTACTTTTACAAGGAGAGCTATGTCATGGTAATCTAGATTGCAAAGATGTATTGCTCTCTCTACCACAAAGGCAGAATATATTGCTGCTATAGAGGTTTACAAAAAAATGTTATGGATGAAAGAATTTTTACAAAAATTGAGGCTTAAATAGGAAAATTATGGTTTATTATGATAGCTAGTGCGCCATCCATTTGTGTAAGAACTCAATTTTTCATTCCAAGTTAAAGTATATAGATGTCAGATACCACTGGATTCGAAATGTGCTTAAAGGGAAGTAGTTGCAACTTCATAAAATTCATACAGATGATAATGAAGTAGACATGTTGACAAAAACCTTACCGAAAGAAAGGTAGGAGATGTGTCAATAGTTGGTCGGCATGGCTTCACATTGAGGAGTCATGTGACAACCTCCCTTATGGGCTGAAGGGGGAGGTTATTGGGTAGACAGCCCATTGGTTCAGCCCATAGTGAGCTTTAACAACCCATAGCCCACTTCCCTTTTTAACCTAAACTTGGATCTAATAAGGGGGGTGTGGTGGCTACGAAGAAGAGAGAAAACTGCAGCAACATGGGCAGAAAGCAATAGCAACAACGTGATTCAAAAAGAGGAGAAATGGGTAGAAAAATAAGAGAAAAAGAAAATTGAAGAAGACAAGAATAACGCAAAAACTGTTGTCAATAATCCAAGTAGTGTTCTCATCTTAAGTTAGATCAAATCTATAGTAGATTCTTGCTGTGATTACTTGGGGAGATTTTGGATATTGTATATAGTAACGTAATCCTTGTATCTCAGTTATTCTCTTGTGATTGTTGCTTGGGTTTTGGACAAAAGACTTTGAGATTTGTATATTTATTATTCTTATAGTGGATTTTCTTTGGTTCGTCTCGTTGTTTTTACCTTCACGTTGGAGGAGTTTTCTATGTAAATCTTGATGTTATATTTTATTATAATTTTTGTTTAATTTCGTTGCATGTTACGATCTACTCGTATTTTTTCGTATACAAAGTTCGTTTCTTTGTTTATCAAGAGAGAGAGAGAGAGTCTGTGTGTTCTAAATTATATATGAACTCCAAGAAAAATAAGAAAAAAAAATGATTATGCAGGAGAAGAACCCAACTGGAGAGAGAGAGAGAGAGAGAGCGCGTACAATTGAGTGATGTGGCAGGTTGTGGCGTTGTCGTAGGAGCAATCGCATTTGATGGCAGGATTGAAGGCGGTGCTGTCGAAATTGGTGGAGTCGGTGGCGGCGCCGCTGCAGGGCTCGCCGCTGATGTTCCACGCCGGCGACGACGTCGCCGAAGCCGTCCTCCCCCACCGCCCCAGGATCGCGTTCAGTGCCGCCACTGCAACGCCGGAAACAGCACACGGTGTTCACGTCAACAACGAACTCCTCGATCAAATGCTACCATGTTATCACCATCATCATATCACACGCTACCAACCTAATGCATGCATGTATGAATGAGTTCGTGTGGTTTGACCGTGAGAAACTGGCAAGTCAGCATCTTTAAACGACTTGACAAAATTGTATGTCCTATAAGATTAGTCGTATCCCTTACAAAATTCAATAACACACATATATCATCGTCGTTAATCTCTATACCATCGATCGTCGGCAAGTATAGCAATAGTGAAACTTCGACTAGCATTAATATCCTTAAAAAATATTTTATATATATATATAATTAGTAATTCAAATAATTGATAAGGTATAATTTAGATATTAAAAAAAGTCTCTTTTTAGTTTTACCAAAAGATATTTCTATTTGATTTTTAATGTGAAAAAAATTAAAATTTTCCATCGAAAGAGAAAAAAGGATCTCGAAAATTGTTTAAGATTAACATGTTGTTCGAAATTAAAAAGAAAGGCAAACATAGAACAGATGTATTGGGAAAATGACATAAATAAGAAAATAAAAGATTGAAATAATCCATAGCTGATTTGATGAGTAAAAATGATGAAGAATAGATTCACGGATTGCCACAAACAAATTAGGAAAATTGTGGCCTAAGATGCAATCCTATATCATCTAAACTTGTATGAATTCAAAACCTCTTTGATAACTATGAAAAGTCAAGTAATAAGAAATATTTCTACAATAATTAAATAAAAATGAGTCTCAAATAGCAGAAAATCTTCTTCTTTTTTTTTTTTTTGGTACCTACATCAAAACAGTGTAACCAGGATACGATATGAGGACCTCAAATCACCATCATATCTATATGAGCTCTTTCTAACTATTTTGTAGGTTGTGTTGGTGTTTTTTCTTATGGTTTTAAGTGGATTTTATGGACTTTGATGGCTTCAGTGAACTGTTTGAGTGCTTTATTATCAAATAAATAAAAGAAGTTGCAAAAAGTTCGGGAGAAGAAACAAATATGGAAAGAAACAAAAGACAAAAATGTTTCAGTGAATTTTTTGAGTACTTTATCGAAGAAGAAAAAGGAAAACCTAAAAGAAATAAAGCATGGAAACAATCATAAGATAAAAAAGGTTATACTGAATTGCGTGTGTTTGTCGAAGAAAGATATGAATTATAGGAGGAGAAGAAGAACAAAAACCATGGAAACTTACAGAAGATAAAAAATAAGGTTCGAGTGCTTTATCAGAGAAAAAGAGGAGAAGACATGGAGCAAGCAGAAGATAAAAAGATTATAGTGAGACAACGACATGCCTTCAGATAGAGGAGTAGTAGCTTGAGCTCCGGATCTTCCGAAAGCGAGGAACAGGCATGGTAGGAAGCAGATCACAAGAGCTACCGAATCAAACTTGGATGGATTCTTTGGCTGCAGCATCTCTGACATGGCGGCAGGGATTCAAGATTTCTGAAGCTCAAGAGTGGTCTGTAACAATGGCGGTGGCTTTCCCCACAATTTAAAGGTGTGACTCTGTTCACAATTGGCTGCTCCACGTAGTGTAGAGATTGTTTATGCTCCTAAACTTCATGCGAGCTCTTCTTCCTCTCATAAAAATCCTTTTATTGCAAATTAAGTGTTTGCTGAGATAATATACCAGTCAGAATCATTCAAATTAAGTCTGATGCTTAAGCTCCAAGGTTGATCCTTTTTCATTTTCAGTCCACTTTGAATAATTTTGTCATTGCAGGTAACACATCAAATCATATAAACATGGACGTTTACTACCAGGACTATATATGATGTGAAAATAAAAGTGATCAGCTTAGAAAAATTTCTGTGGTGAAGAAGCTTGTTTGACTTTTCTCTCTGGTCCTACTTCAAGAGGGTTGTATTGTTTTATAGACATTTGTGTCTGCGACTCCTGGTGAAGTAAAAAAAATTAATTTAAATGGCGATTCATTAGTTCTTGGACTGTAGAATTTGGTGTAGATCAATGCTTCAACAACTATCTCTGATGCATACAATGACAGCAACTGGACTCAAAGAAACAAATTGACATTAGTGCCTATGTATATTCCAAGTACCTACTACCTTTATCTTATACAAGAGTCAAGATTATGAAGTGACATATATGATTCACAGTATTAAAATATTTATAAATTAACCTAGAAACAAATACACACACACACACAAAAAGATAATCCAATTCACAATAATCAATATTCACAGCCTTATCTCTACAAATAGGAAGATATTGAGAATTACAAGGGTCTATCAAAAACCAGGTAGAAGGTCTGATGATGTAGGTGGCAGGTACCTGCCCATCTTTAATTCTAAACATACTTTGACATTCGGAGATCTAAAGCATCACCAAGCATGCTTTAACAGCAATGGAGCTTGCACCATCATTCATGGAAGCTGCATCAATTCCTTGGAAAGCAATCTGCTTGACTACCCAGCAACATGCTTGGAATTGTTAATTGCTTGTGGATGTGCTAAAATATTATTCGAGATTTGCATGAAAGAAGCAATCTTTTGCCTGTTGAAGATGCAGTTCATCTTCCTGTATTGCTCAGACCAAATGCGTAGCACTTTCCTAAATAAATACTTTTGGATGATTTTTAGCAGAGTATGAAGTGGAAATCTGGTGGGCATGAGTTATCAAAGGTGATGGTGAGTAACAGTGATGAAACCTTTTTTTTTTTTCAAGATGCCATGATGAAGAACACCAATTGCAGATAAAAAATTGTATACATAAATTGGAAATTTGCACATTCATTTATCTAATAATATATCAATTAATATAATTTCTAAATATTTTGCCTCCATTATCGATTTGAAGCCAATCTGAGTGAATCCTCAAACTTTGACTTTCTTTTATTGTGGCAAAAGTATTTATTTGTTTAAGTAACATGCAACATTTAATTATTTGGCACTCCATTAGGCTAAAAGAATTTTATTTTGGATTAGCATGCTGAAAGAACATATCTTTTAGTTTCCTTTCGAGGGATTACGGAATTATAATGCTGAAGATGATGAAATAAACTCTGTGCTGCATGAGTGAGGAACACTGTCTACATTCCAAATAACTTGTTGACCAAGTTTCTTAAGAGAAAAATAAAAATAAGAACACTGTCTACATTCGTCAAGTTTCTAATCTCCAACATGGTTGAGAAAGGAAAGAACAATTCGGATCTGTGTAATCCGTACATGTAGTTGAATGGTCAAAGTGTCTGACGATTTGATAGCCTTTATTTTCTCATTTATTGTGAAATGAAGTCAAGTCAATCCATTATATATATACATATATATGTATGTATATATATAATGGATTGACTTGACTCCATTTCACGATATGTGAGAAAACAAAGGCTATCTGTGTGTGTAATTTTTGTTGTTCAGTTTAATTCATTTTTTCGAATTTTGACGGATGTTTGTGATTAAAATATGATGTGTGTGGATTTGGAAGTCCGATCAGGATGCTTGATTTGGGTTGAAAATTTGGAGGTCACAAAAATTATAGTGGTGAATATTACAATATGATTATGGCCATTTAACAATCTTGGCTAGTGTAGGCTGGAATCTTTTGAACATTTCCTTCCAGAGCAGTGGACCTTTCATTGATAGCTCTATCCACCAACTGATCTTGAAAGCCAGAAGAAGACTGCAATGATTAAAGATCAAGATGAGCCATAGGCCAATCACAGATGTGGTGTTCGATCTCGAAGAAGTATTTTTTAGGAAAGCAGATACCTTGGTTGCTTCTATTAATATTAAGGCCAATGAGATTGAAACAAAGATCAAGGATTTAAATAAAGGAAGCATGAGATTTTGGATTAACCCTCATGATGATCAAAGACATGGCAGGCAGCTGATCCAGAGGCACATCAATTTGATGAAACACTAGTAGTTGACCAATGTGATGAAGATTTGGTGAGGAGGAATATGATAGTGATCTGGCTCTCTTGCGCTCTATATTGATAAGGCATATTTTGGATACCGGCCACATCACAATTCACGTCATGTTATGCCCCTACTAAGTCAGCATGAGGATTGACTCCCCACGTCGAACCGAAGCCCGCTCAGGAAGGCGCCCCCTCGGTAAGTCCCATCCCAGAAAGCCCGAGATGGCACCGTATGGCGTTGTTCCATGCTCGCCGGGCGATGCCTCTACAAAGGTACCATCTGGTCACTCAGGGGTCGACCGTCGCGCCAAATCCACGTATGACCGATCCTCAGGCAACAATATAAAAACCCTTGGCCGGCACTTGGCCAGGGGCAAGGACAAAAAAAAGGAGAAGACCACTAACTTAATCTACGAGGGACCCAACTCAGGAACACCCCGACCAGGGTCTATGTGTAGGAGTTCGGCCACCCCGGAGGAGAGACCGACCTGACCGACGACTCAGCTCATCCCCGGCTCATCCACCATTCGACCAAGAAAAGCATCGCCAACCACCTCGGGAGCTCCGGACATTGGCTCGTGGACCAAGCCGTGCTAACTCCTCGGCCACGTCACGAAAGTTCCCTAATATTTTTGGCGCTAGAAGGAGGGCCGATGTCGTAGGAGCGCCCCGCAGGAGCTCACCCCGAGGGAGAACCACCAAACACTCACATCCCTTTCGGACTTAGAGATCAGCCCCTCCCCAGGGATGGGGGCATCCCGACGCCAGACCGCTATTGATGCCTATTCAACTATCCAAGACTCCCCCCCTAGATATACCACGAGACCCTCAGTCGTTTCGCTCGAGGCGTTCCTCGGCCTGGCCAAACAAGTACAGGCCTTGGCAGTAATGATGCAAACAATCGTCCCCCTCATCCTACAAATCGTGCAGTTAACGGCACCACCGACCGACTCAGCACCGCAGAGGCCAAACGGGGAGCAGGTCGAGACTGGAGAAGCCTGAGAGCAAACCACAACCCTAGGAAACCTACCCCATCAAAGCGCACCCACACCTCGTCGACATGCACTGTCTCCCCTCGAGCCCGGCACATTATCGTTAGACTCGGCAGATGATTCTTTCAGGGTCCAGCTATCCATGGTCAACTGACGCCTGGACGAGTTCCAACGTGAATTTCAAAAGTCGCGCGGCGAGACCGAGGAAAGTAGTTCGGGTGGATCCCCTTTTGCTAAGGAAATCCTAGACAAGCCTATGCCGCTCAATTTCAGACTACCGGCATTAGAGACGTACGACAACAGCTCTGACCCTATGGAGCATGTCGTCGCATTTCGGGCTCAAATGGCCCTCTACAGCACATTCAATGCACTGATGTGTCGGGCGTTCCTGACTACCTTCAGAGGACTGGTGGGGGCATGGTTTAGTTGGCTACAACCAGGCACAATCTCTTCGTTCGATCAGCTCGTAAGAGAGTTCGAGCAAAACTTCCTAGCCAGCGTGCAACCCAGGCCTTCCATGGCCATGCTTCTCGCGTTGTCCCAGGGCGAGGGCGAATCACTTTCCCAATTCATCACATGCTTCGCCAACGAAATCCAAGGGTTCCTAGATGCTTATCCCTCCCTAATTATGCAAGCTTTCCTGATGGGCTTATGACCCTCGAGGTTCTTCTGGTCACTGATCGAGAAGCCACCCTCAGCCATCCTCGAGATGCTCCTGCACGTCAATCAGTACGTCGCTGCGGAAACCTCGATGGTGGGACGATGCAAGGATAGCAAGAGGCCGAGGGTGGAATAGGCTCAAGGGGCAATCTCGGGGTCGTCAACAGCGTAACCCCGCAGGAAGTTCACCCCCGACCGACCCGAGCAGTTGCTCTCGAGACCCCCGCCTCTGCCCCTAAACACTTATCACACCGAGATCTTTCTCCAGATTAGGGAGAAAGGACTTTTACGACAACCCAACCCCTTGAAAGCTACTCACAAGGACTGATCTAAATATTGCAGGTTCCATCGTGACTATGGACACGACACAAAGGACTGCCATGACCTCCAGAATCAAATCGAAGAATTGATCCAAAGAGGCCACCTCGGGCGCTACCTTAGAGAACCAAGAGAAGCATCGCCATGACCCAGGGGCCCCGTCGAGAAGCAAATCGACATCATCACAACCGGACCAGCTTTTGACGGCAGCAGCACCATGGCGAGGAAGGCCTACGCGCGTAGCGCAGTGGAGAAGCACCCCATACCCGAGTTTGAACCCGAAATCACTTTCGGGATCGAAGAAGTCAAACGCCTCCACCATAACGACGCTTTGGTGATCTCTATCTAGATTGCCAACGCTCGGGTGAAGAGGGTGATGATCGACACCAGGAGCTCTGCTGATGTGCTGTACCTTGACGCCTTCAAGAAGCTTGGCCTAACTAACGAGGATCTCAACCCCATGACGTCGGTGCTCACCGGATTTACGGGGGATTCCATCTCCCCGCTTGGGACTATTGTCCTCCCTATTACCATTGGGGAAGAACCAAGAACCAAGACGATGATGACCACCTTCATGGTAGTCGACCTGCTCTCCGCCTACAACGCCATCTTCAACCGCCTGACGCTCAACAAGTTGAAAGCGGTGGTCTTCACCTACCACCAAGCCATTAAGTTTTTGACGCCAGCGGGAGTCGAGGTATATCGAAGTGATCCCAGGGAATCAAGG